GTGTGTGTGTGAGTGTGGCCGGGGGGAGGGGGAGATCCACAAAAAGAGGGGGCGATTAGTTTCTCATTTCAAAAGACTCGTAACACAAAGATGTTGAGATGACAAGTAGAAACTTGTAGCCCTGACAACTAACAAAGCACCAAGCCCTGTGGCAAGGGTCTCCTGAAATGTCAACGAGCAAAGAAGTTTTATAGCACAATTTTGGCCCTTACAGCTTACATTTTGTTGGGGGGGTTTTTTAGTCGTTTTTTTTCTACTTTTAGCGCCATATCGTGTCTCCTATGTCCCATGATAAACTGTTGAGACAAGCCTAACCATAACAAATAAATAATATAAAAAATAAACCAATTTACTTGTGAGTAAACAACTTGAAAAGCTCTAAATACTACAAAGATTAATTTGTTGTTTTTTAAAATCATGTAGGTGTTTCTCACGCCCCCGTTAACACTATTTAGACCATTTAGTAGGCGGGCTTCCGATCCCGCCTGTCTATGTCAAACCTGGGCTGCGAGGAATACAACCTCCAAGCACAACACCACCGAGGTATTCAATAAAAATGTATCCCCACTCGGGAATCGAATTCGGGTCTCCTGCGTGCGGGAGCGAAACGACTAACCTCTACACCACAGCCGCCGAGGATTAATATGTAACAGGAATAAACGCATACGAATAGCAGATAACCTACTGCCAGTGACAAATAACACATAAAAACACAACCTTTTAAAGCCTAATTAAGAGTTTTACGGTACTTGCAACACAAAACGATCAAATAAGTGCCGAAGATAGGAAGTGTTACCAGAGAATTACAAACACAAAATAGAAGAAGAGATCAGTACAATAGACTGATGTTTGTAAAAAAGAAGAAGCAAACCACACAATAGCAACCGTCAACCCACCCGCTAAACACAGTCTGCTTCCTTTTCAATTACATTCGTTCTTTTTGGGAAGCAAAAAAAAAAAAAAAAAGACATAAAGACGTCGACAGCTAAAAAAGTATTGTCTCTGGAACAACAGCCCCTTGCAAAGCAACACGGCACACTTGATCAGACACCAGAAATAACAGACGGTTAACGTGCGTCGTCACGGAAGGGACCACATTCTATACTTCCAGAGATGTTTGCTCCGCCTTCGTTTATTTTTCCGACTTTAAAAAAGGGGAAAATAGAAAAGATAAGAAAAGACGCGCCCCTCAGGAATCTGCTATAGACCAGAAAGCAACAGGAAACTGGCCACCCGAACAAACGGCGTTCCAAAATGTCCAGCAAACGCGCCGGACATCTTTTTCTCGCTGAGAACGGAGAGCGGACGGACCTTTTCTAAGATTTCTTCCCAAAAGGCGGCAAGGACGAGAATTAATTAGGCTGATTTCCCGTCCCCTCAATACGACCGCACGCCTGCCCTCCAAGTCTAATTGATTTGGATGTTGCTTCTCTTGTATTTTTTTCTTCCCCCCCCCCTCTCAATTCCCCACCCCCACCCCTTTTATTCCCATTCCAAACCTCTTTTTCTCGCCCACAGGTTTCTGTCCTTACTTCCCTTTTGGCGTCGATTCCTGAAGCGGAAGTGACGAAGAGTGGAAAAAGTGACTGGCAAAACTGACCTCCGAAGGGAATGGTTTTCTCTCCCTCTCTCTTTCTTTCTTTCTTTCTTTCGTTCTCCCCCTCTCTCTCTCTCTCTCTCTCTCTCTCTCTCTCTCTCTCCAAAAGCGTAGGGTGAAAACATATTTAGCCAGTGCCAGCCAAAGGAGGAGTGTCAATGATTGTATCCTTGCTTCACTGACCAGGGCACCTTCGGTGGTGAAACTTTATTTTTTTTCCGATCTAGTGCTATTTATTTTGTGTCTTCTAATGAATACTATACATCCCCCCCCCCTTTCCCCCCAAAACAACACAAACAAACACACGCGCACACACATA